TATATATATATATATATATATATATATATATATATATATATATATATATATATATGACTTCAGGACAATGGTATCCCCTGGATAATCACCCCCACCCCCTGGACAAATTCCCCCGGGAAATTACCCCCGAACAATACAGCACACATTTCACTATACAGACTCAAAATGATGATAAATATAATATATAATAAGAAAAACTCAAACAAAATATTTCTGAATATGATTAATTATTTCTGCGTACAGTAAAAACCCGCGTATAAGAACCTAGATTTTTCCAAGTTAGCCTCAATAACTGGTGCTCAATAACTCAATAGCCTCAATAAATGGTGCTTACTGAAAAATTAGGCTCAAAAGGTTCTTAAATAGGTTCTTGAATGGACATACAGTTAAGTACTGTAATGTAGAAACAATACATCTGTTTATTTCTCATGTGCAGACAAGAACTATGTTTCACTGAAGAGACGCTTGTATCCTTGTTTGATAATATTTTACATTTGCAGATATATGTAAATAATGCAGTACTGTGTCTCAATAACAATGCCAGAGTGCTGGCACATTCATCGATATTGTTGAGCTCATCTTTTTTATTTTACCTGTGTTTCTTTTTAAGCCTTCATCTGCATAGAAAATTAAAAACCTACTTTAAAATCTTAGCCTAAAACAGGTTCTTATGTAAAGGGGTCTAATGGGAAATTTTAGTCTAACAGGTTCTTAAAATCTAGGTTCTTATACGCGGGTTTTTACTGTATTCAACATTGAGATTTTCAACACATGGTGATGAATATACGAAAAAATCTAATGGTATGTTTCATTTTCCTTTCAATTTTTTTTTCATTATTAAAATTCAACACAGTAATCTAAATATATAAATAAACCTAAATGCAACGTGCGTAATTGTCCAGGGGTAATTGCCCGGGTGGTAATCGTCCATATATATAACATATTTTACATGAGCTTTCTCAAGTATATATTGGTTTCCTTGCGGCTTTATCTGCTATTTCATTTTACTTTACGCGCCTACGTGAGACGATTAACTATATATATATATATATATATCCACCTATAAACTGAAGAGCAGCCCCCAGGTTCGGTCTCGACTAGTGAGGATAGTATGTAAAACTACACCATCATTGCTCACTTGCTGCTACCAACCAGTCGAGAGCGCCATCTAGTGTGAGGGGGAATAGTGCATATTACCATAGTCTTGTCATTAGATAAATGATATCAGTCATTTCGGGGAGAGGGGGTTAGAGAGGGTGGAAAATATAGCGAAAGTTGTTTGCTGGTGTGTGTGTGTGTGTGTGTGTGTGTTTCTGTGTGTGCGTGCGCGAGTGTGTGTGCGAGCTTGTGTGTGTGCGCACGCATGTGCGCGTGCGCGCGTGTGTGCGTGCGTGCGTGCGTGCGGGTATGTGTATGCGCGCACGTGTGTCTGGAAGAGTCTGTGTTTGTGCAGGCACACGTGTGCTACCATGACTGAATGCGTGTGCGCGCGGTAATGTGTGAATCTGAAAGCGTTTGCTTGTGTGCGCGCGTATGGCAAGCCATTCCCTTCAAAACTGAAATCAGGAATGAAAACAACACAAGTATGAATAGAAACAATACTTTGTAAAATTGAAACGATACTTCAATAAATAGAAAACACACTATGTCAAATGGAAAATGCTTTTGTAAATGAAAACAACACAAGTACGAATAGAAACAATACTTTGTAAAATTGAAATAACTAATTGTACAATAGAAAACATGTCTTTGCGACTATGCACAACTCTGAATGGAATGCACAGTTATGTGAATGAAAAACACGAACGCGAATAAACAGATAACGCGCTCGCGTAGCAACGACCTAGGGCCTATATATATGGCGTGTCACAGAATAGAAACAACACACAAGCCCGAATAGAAAGAACGGAAAGTCTACAAGCACTTCGTGTACGTGTACGTGCGTGTACCCGCGTGCACGTTCGTGTACCCGCGTGTACGTGCGTGTATCTGCGTGTACGTGCGTGTACCCGCGTGTACGTGCGTGTACCTGCGTGTACGTGCGTGTACCCGCGTGTACGTGCGTGTATCTGCGTGTACGTGCGTGTACCCGCGTGTACGTGCGTGTACCTGCGTGTACCTGCGTGTACCCGCGTGTACGTGCGTGTACCCGCGTACACGTGCGTGTATCCGCGTGTACGTGCGTTTATCTGCGTGTACGTGCGTGTACCCGCGTGTACGTGCGTGTATCTGCGTGTACGTGCGTGTACCCGCGTGTACGTGCGTGTACCTGCGTGTACGTGCGTGTACTCGCGTGTACGTGCGTGTATCTGCGTGTACGTGCGTGTACCCGCGTGCACGTGCGTGTACTTCGTGTACCTGCGTGTACCCGCGTGTACGTGCGTGTACCGCGTGCACGTGCGTGTATCCGCGTGTACGTGCGTTTATCTGCGTGTACGTGCGTGTACCCGCGTTTTATTCATAGTTATTCTAGCTTAACAGTTATTAACGTAAGACATAACATACAAACATAAAGATGAGCAAAACATCATTTATAATGTATAAAATAAATGAAGAAATAATAATAATTACTGAAAATACTCAAATATAATAGAGATGTAATAATAATTTTTAATAAAACATATATATTATACAAATGAGTAAGTACATGCCAGTTAATAACTATGTTCTATAGAGTTTATTCAACATGCATCACTGAAAATCCGGTTGCGTTACCTCGCTACAGAGATAATGTATATATTCCATTCGATATGAAACCCCAAATGTCCGGGTCCGATAATGCATGTATTTGTGTGTGAGTGTGCGTGCGTGCGTGCGTGCGTGCGTGCGTGCGTGCGTGCGTGAGTGCGTGCGTGCGTGCGTGCGTGCGCGCGCGCGTGTGCGTGCGCGTGCGCGTGTGCGTGCGTGCGTGCGTGCGTGCGTGCGTGCGTGAGTGCTTGTGTGTGTGTGTGTGTCGTGTGTGTGTGCGAGCGCGCGCGTGTCGTGTCGTGTGTGTGTGTGTGTGTGGTAGGCGGACTACGTACGTACTAACTTACTACGACGACGTACGTACGGTA